GGGGCTTTCCCAGCAGACAATAGCAGACAGTCTCCTTGATTGCATATCTTCACCTGGAAGCCATGCCATTCACAACAAACAATACCTATTCAACACAGAACAATACACAGTTTACATGGGAATAGCAGACAATCTCCTTGATTTAATATCCTCCTACCCTGAAGCCATGCTATTAACAACAGAACAATGCCTATTCAACCAGAATACACAGTTTACATGGAAATCACTCCTCCCTACCCAGGGTCTCACAGTATATATAGACCCACTGTCTTCTATTCCAGTATTCTCTGAAGATGCCAGCCACAGATGCTGGCAAAACATCAGAAAGAAACTCTTCTAGAATATGGCCACACAGCCCGAAAAACCCACAAAAAACTATGGATGCTGGACATGAAAGCCTATAACCATATAGTTTTTAATGGGTTTTTCAGGCTATGTGGCCATGTTCTAGAAGAGTCTCTTTCTGATGTTTCCATATTGTTGCATCATCATCATCCAGGGGTTAATCTATATGTAAGTGTACTATGCAAATTGCTGTGGATTTTTGCACATTCAGCTAGAAGCTTAATTGTCTTCATGTTCCTGTGCAAATTCACATCTGTTTACACACACCCCTGCCAAAAGTGCTTGACCATGAGAATCCATGTGAAGCAGATGGGCAGCCACACATTCAATAATACACAACTTTGCAGATACCCATGGAAACCTCAGTAAAAACCATGATTCCTTTTTCTATGGAGTTTGAGGACTTTTTTGGGGGGGGGGGGTACACAAAAAGCCAGAATTCCTCTGAATCATGTAAGGAGGGAACACATTCTAGCTGAATAGAATGAGGAGTATTTTAATGATGTAGGCAAGTCCTTGATAAATTTATTTGCCAGAGCCAGAGTTGCATTGCTTCAAACTAGCAGGGGTTTTATTGTTTATTGCCCATTAATAATATGCATAACAATACATTGATTTCCTGCATGAGCCTGGATTACCTCTTCCCCAGAGCCTGAGGTAATCCAGGCTCACAGGAAGCAATGCTGCATGTTTTCTGCAAATGTCTGTTCTTTGGGGCCTCTTCTTTCCACCCTTTTCAGTGACCCAAGTGGCTACTATGGTGTCCTAATTAGGAAACGATAACCTAACAAGCCCTCCCAGGCATATAAATCATTCAGTTCTGTGGCACTTATTGCTAGAAACAAGTCACCTGACTTTAATCCCTTCAATCATTTTACCATTTTGACAGTTGCTCCATTAAATACTTGGTTCCTGCCAAATCAATCTCATGTCTATTGTGATGAGAGAGAAGAGAAATTAGACATTTTAGGCAGCATAATACTGTTACACAAGTGCAAATGAGAAGAAAATTTCTCTCCTGATCACTTCAGAATCTCAGCCACTGAAGCATTTGGCCTAGAGTACTTCTTTGTTTTTAATCCCTTTCAAGAATCTCTGGAGGGTTTGGGGGTATTTTGAGAGGAGTGAAGAGAGAGAATGAGTGTGGGAGAGAGATACTTCTGGCCTGTCTTGGATGAAAGAAGCTGTTTGCCTCCATGTAAACCAGTCCTTTCTCTTCCTTCTGAAGCTACACCATGGCAGCTGAGTTGCCATCACGTAGATTCTAAAAAACCTTGCATGGACTTTAAGCAACCAGATTATGACTCCTGGACCCCTTCCTACATGTGGACTCTTTATGTGTTGGCCAGCTCCACACAATCTGGATCCTTCCATAATTGGGGTTTCAGACCATGTAAAGTATACAGAGCTTTGAAGGATGACTGGAGCACTGGTGACCTATGAGACTGACAATGAATTGCAGAACTTGAAAATCTTTTAGACTGTAACTCCCAAAATCCACTAGCCAACATATGTTATTATTTGCTGTCAAATCAACTTTAACTTATGGTGATCCTGTGAAAGAGAGACTGCCAAGAGCCCTGATAATCAACTGTCCTGCCAAAGAGAAGCTCTTGAGTGTTTATGTGGGAGTACAGAGATGCTGACGATACCATAATACTAGCAGAGAACCTCACAGACCTGAAACAACTGCTAAGGAAGATCA